GGGGGAAGGACGCGGTGTCCCCTGAAGAGGCGACCTGCCCGCAGGGAGGGGCTTTGTGGGCGCGGTGACTGCGGGGGGCGGGGGCCCAGGCTGGGGGGTCAGGAGAGGGAGTGAGAGACAGACACGTGGGCGGGAGGAAGGGCAGAGCGGGGTCCACAGAGAGGGGCCCATAGGGTGTGGGGGGGACTGGACGGCGACGGTAGGAGTGAGGGGGTCACTCGGGGAAGTAGCCTGAGGAGGAAGGAAGTGGAGACACAGGGAGGAGGGGGAGCCCAGAGAGAGGAAGGGGGGCTGAGAGGGAGCGGGTCCTGGGGAGCAGAAGTGGGGGCCGCACAGGAGGAGGCACTTGAGACAGAGACACTGGTTCCGAGGAGAAGAGTTGGGGAGCGAGTGCAGGGACAGAAAGGGGGGCTCAGGGATGAGGGAGCAGAGGGAGCAGCCCTGAGTCAGCAGCTGTGGGAGCGGGACAGACGGGAACAGGCAGCAGAGGGGCCGCGGGCGTGGGGAGGGGAAGACGCAGACGTGTGTGGAGATGGAGCCTCAGAGACCAGGAGAAAGAGCCCCTGAAGGGAAGTAGGTTTCAGGAGTTTCATGGTCCAGGTGTAGGACAGACAGAGAGAAAAGGGGAGAGAGAGCAGGAGAGAGGGGGACACAGGAAAGGGCCACAGTGGAGGGAAAGGGAGCAGGAGACAGAGACAGATCCACAGACAGAAATACATAGTAGTGGGAGGAGGGGAACCCTGATCTGGGTGATGGGTGAGCTGATCGGGTCGTGGATGGTTAATTTTGATATACTGGCTTGTGGCTCTATATGTTTAATTTAACATCTAAGTTGTTTAAACAGATTTGAATGAGAATTACAAATCTCCAGTTCAGAAGGCTTGCAAATTGTATAATTATTTGTTTCCATTTGCAACCTTTATTCACAAAGAGCGAGAGACTGGTATGTTCCTGATGGGTCTGTTGTCATTTTCTGTGATGGTCAGAAAGAGGTGACCTCGGACAAGAAATGACTGAGTCTGCCCCCACATGATACTTTATCAAGGAATATTAGAAGCATCAATCTTTTTTTGTGATCCATGGATTTGCTTTTTCTACCTCTGATATTTAATTCATGTACACGGTCATTAACTTCTGAAATCAAACTTGGTGACATTTCACACTCACCTGTTATAATATTTTTCTTACTATAAGGTTGTCTCCACCTTTTTAAAGCTTTAAACCTAGAAATAATTACATTAAAAAGAAACAACCCTAATTGTTTTTGTTTTAAATATATTTTTATTGATTTTTTACAGAGAGGAAGGGAGAGGGATAGAGAGCCAGAAACATCGATGAGAGAGAAACATCGACCAGCCACCTCCTGCACACCCCCTACTGGGGATGTGCCCGCAACCCAGGTACATGCCCTTGACCGGAATCGAACCTGGGACCTTTTACAGTCCACAGGCCGACGCTCTATCCACCGAGCCAAAGCGGTTTTGGTTGTTTTTGGTTTTAAATATATTGTGTGCCCCTGGCCGGTTTGGCTCAGTGGATTGAGCGTCAGCCTTCGGACTGAAGGGTCCCAGGTTTCTATTCTGGTCAAGGGCATATGCCCAGGTTGCAGGATTGATCCCCAGTAGGGAGCATGGAGGAGGCAGCCAATCAATGGTCCTCTCTCATCATTGATGTTTCTATCTCTCTCTCCCTCTCCCTTCCTCTCTGAAAGCAAGAAAAATATTTTTTAAAAAAAAAAATAAGTATATTGTGTATAGTTCAGATTCTGAGCCCTGCATTCTTTGTACTGTCTATCATACCCTGAGACATCCATTAGCACTTAGTAGTATGAGGCAATCTCATTGTGGACTTGGTAAGGATGTCAATGATCTTTTTTTAAAATATATTTTTATTGATTTCAGAGAGAGAAAGGTAGTGGGAGAGAGAGATTGAAACATCAATGATGAGAGAGAATCACTGTTTACCTGCCTCCTGCACCCCCCTACTGGGGATTGAGCCTGAAACCCATGCATGTGCCCTTGACCGGAATTGAACCTGAGACCCTTCACTCTGCAGGCTGACACTCTCTCCATTGAATGAAACTGGAAAGAGCAGGATGTCAATGATCTCAATAGTCAGGCACTAGTTGTGTGAGTTGGTCCAGTGTTTAGCACCTCTTTCCTTCCCTTCATGTGATTTGTTGTCGGTGAGCCACAAAGTATCTGTTCCCCTAAGTCCCTCTTGTCCATTCTCTGAAACTATTGAAGGATGGACTGGATTGAACTGGAACTTGATTCCCACAGAGCCCATCTATTCATGGTGAAGTCATTTGCTGAGCATATTTCAATAGCTAACTTTCCCCAGTGGCTTTAGCATGAAGATCTAGTCTCCGTAATTTCCTTGGACAAGAAGAAGGAAATCTGCCTGTGAAACCTGCACGTGTACAAGTTCCTGCTTCATCCCCTCCCACTACCTAGAGGTCTCAGGGGTGCTGGGTCTGATGTCTGATACCCAGCGCTACTGAAAACAGCTCTGGGGGCGCTTCCCAGGCCCTAGGAGGGAACTAGTTAAACATGGTATGTCATGGGCCCCAGTGCAGGCTTTTTCAGGGGAGGTAAGCGGTGTTGTGTTGGGTTTGGGGATACAGCGGAACAGCACATGCTCTCATTGCTGTCGGAGTTTGTGGAAGTCTTTGGAAGGACAGACACAGGAAGACAGAATAAAACACCTCAAAATGTGGTCTCCATGTAGGAACTCATTGTTCCTGACTTTCTCCTATGACAAAGGACAGGAGTGGGTGGCCTTTTCCTCATTTCCAGGTCCTTCTGACTGTGACTGTGAGGGGAGCTGATTAAGGGCCTGGGTCAATGCCTTTGAAGGCACATTCTGTGACTCCTCAACATATTGTCACCTGAGGAAACATCCCAGACCGCTATCACAACCCGGAAACAAATGGCTGCTTCTCAGGTAAAAGATGCATCCTATGTCAGAGGCTGTGTTTGCTTTTTCTTGAACATCTGTTGATACATTTCTCTTTCTCTTCCCACACCTGTGTCTCCTCTGTTGCCCCTGTTATAGTCTGTTCTGTTACCCACAACTGGCTGACTCTCAGTGCTGCTTCTCCCTCTGCTCTGTCATCCCTAAACCCCCCCTTTATATCTCTGCACTCGCTCCCCCCAATTCTTCTCTTCTGAACCTGTCTCTATCTGAAGTACCTCCCCCTTTGTTACCCCCATTTCTGTTCACCAGAACCCCTCTTCCTCTCAGCTCCCCTTTATCTCTCTAGGGCTCCTTCCTCTCCATATTTCTCTACTTCTGATGTTCTTGTTTTTCCAGGTCACTTTCTTTTCCTTATTTCTTTCCTTTTTTCTTATGATAATCAGTGTCAGCAGTTTCTATATTTCCCTCTGTCTTTTTAAAAATATGTTTTATTGATTTCAGAATGGAAAGGAGAGGGAGAGACAGATAGAAGCATCATTGAGCAGAGAGAATCATTGATCAGCTGCCTCCTGCACACCGCACACTGGGGATTGAGCCCACAACCTGGTTGTGTGTCCGGACCGGGAGTGACCTTTTGGTGCATGGGTCAGTACTCAACCACTGAGCGACACTAGCTGGACCAGGCAGAATAATCTTGTTCTAAGATTACTCACAGTAGATTTCCAACTGGAATAGTAGTTCCTATGTGTCCCATTCTATGAGAACTGTATTCCAGCAACAAACCTATTTAGTTCAAATTCTGTATGAATTTTTCCTTGTGTTTTATTTTCCTGTGTATTCAGAAGTATGGCGCATGATGAGGAAACATTGGCATCACAGGTAAAAAATGAGCTTATGACACATGTGGAAACACAGGCCCCATCTGAGAACCTGGATCAGAATCTGTATCTTTTCAGAAGTACATTTTGTTGTGGTCTGCTTCACACTTGAGAAGAAGTCCGTATACTTCCAACCAGCATGACATTGCCAGCTGAAAAATATATACCACTGACTCTGAACAATGCAAATGCAGCACTCAGAAATCCATATGCCTGTTTCCATGCCTTAATTTTATTTAAGGTATTTATTTCTTGAAATATATTTTTGTCGATTTCAGAGAGGAAGGGAGATAGAGAGAGAGAGAGACATCAATGAAGAGAGAGAGAATCATTGATTGGCTGCCTCCTTCACAACCCCTACTGGGGATCCAGCCTGCATCCCAGGCATGTGCCCTTGACTGGAATCGAACCTGGGACTCTTCGGTCCATAGGTTGACACTCTATCCACTGAGCCAAACTGGCTAGGGCTATGCCTTAATTTTAAAGTTTATTTCTTGTAAAGTAAAATCTGTATCGTGAATTTGTGGACATGTGTCAGTGTCAGAAAACATATCAGAGAATGTCACTGGGGCAAAGAGATCTTATTGGGTGATTCAGGATACTCCCCTAGATCCAAACCTCTTTTAACACTGTTTTCATGTTGGGTGACATTATGAACTCATCTGGTGACCTCTTGGTAATCCTGTTTTTTCTTTCAGGGACCGGTGACCTTCAGGGATGTGGCCATAGATTTCTCTCAGGAGGAATGGGAATGCCTGGACCCAGCTCAGCAGAAATTGTACCTGGATGTGATGTCGGAGAACTACAGCAACTTGGTGTCCGTGGGTGAGGATGACTTCCTTCCTGAGTTCCTACTCCTCCACAGGGTTTTGTTTCCTTTATTATTTTAACATCTCTGAGGGTTATTTTAACATCTTCTGCTTTCTATGCTAGATTCTTGCTCTCAAGGAACAAATTGGGCACTAGCTGTTTGGCTCATTGGATAGATCACCGGCCTGCAGACTGAAAGGTCCCAGGTTTGATTCTGGTCAAGGCCAATGCCCGGGTTGGTGGTTCACTCCCCAGTAGGGGGCGTGCAGGAGACATTCTATCAATGGTTCTCTATCATTGATGTTTCTATCTCTCTCTTCCTCTCCCTTCCCCTCTGAAAGCAATTAAAAAATATGTATTTTTAAATGGGAACAAATTGGGGGACCTTGGGTGTTGAAAACTTTGTGACGTATATTAATTAGGAACTCAGAGTTTGCACACTTTACATGTTGTCTATAGTAATTAAGGTACTATCAGAAAATAATATTTTAGAAAATCATTTTCTGGAATATTCTAACATTCTACCATGTCTTCTGGCCATAGTACAAACTGGATTGAAAATGGGAAAGCCTCTATCAAAATTCACACTCCATTTTCTTTTATTTTTTGATTTTTTAAGATTTAGTTGATTTCAGGGAGGAAGGGAGAGTGAGAGAGGCATACAAACTTCAGCTGGGCATTAATTGATTTTTTTGTATGTGCCCTGACCATGGGTGGGTATAACTTTGTGAATTTGTGTTCTCTGTATAAATCGCCGGATATGGAACCATTGTGTTACCTGGTACTTGTTTGTAAATATTAGAAAACCCTCCACTGTGTTTTGTTAGTGGCTGCACCAGTGTTTTTATAATTTTGCTGACAGTGTATGAATGTTCTCATTTCTCCACTTCATTGGTAAAACATGTCGTTGGCATCCTGTTAGGTGTTCGTTAGTATTTCATGGTGGTGTCAATTTGCATTTCTCTGATGATGAATGAGTTGAACATCATTTAATATGTCTATTGCACATCTATATTCAGATCCTCTGCCCATTTTTCAATCATATTGTCTTCTTGGTGTTAAGATGTATGAGTTCCTTATATATTTGGGATCTTTAGCTTTTGAGGATGTAACATTGCTGGGCTTTTGTTGTTGTTGTTGTTGTTACTTGGTGGTTTCTCTGGTATGTCAAACTTATTCTTCTGTAGTCTCATTTCTTTATTTTTTTAGTTTCTTTGTTATTTCTAGGAAGATATATGCAAACCAGTATTTTTAAGAGTGATGGTAAAGTTCATTGACTATGTTTCTTAGAGAGAAACATGGATCAGCTGCCTCCTGCATAACCCCTGCTGGTGATGTGCCCACAACCAAGGTAGTACATGCCCACTGGAATTGAACCTGGGACCTTTCAGTCCGCAGGCCGACACTCTATCCACTGAGCCAAACCGATTAGGGCTGGACATTTTTTAAATTGTGTTACTTCTTTTTTCATGTTGACTTGTAAAAGGTCTTTATATATTATAGATATTAAGTACTTATCAGATAATATACTTTGCAGACATTTTTCCCCATTTCACAGTTTGTATTGTGAATGCACTGACAATTTCCTTTAATGTGAAGTTATTTCTAAAGTATATGGGGTGTAATGCATTTTGACTATTTTGTTTACCTTTCCATTTAGTACTATAATAAAAAATGAAATATCATAAAAACTTTTCTATATGACCTAGCCGGATTGGCTCAGTGGATAGAGTATCAACCTGTGGACTGAAGGGTCCTGGGTTCTATTCCAATCAAGGTTGCATGAGCAGGATGGAGGCTCCATCCCCACTATGGGCCATGCAGGAGGCAGTCAATCAGTGAATCTCTTAATCTTTGTATCTCTCTCTCCCTCTCCCTTCCCCTCTAAAAGCAATAAAAATGTATTTAAAAAACCCCAAACACATTTCTATAACTCCTCTTTTTATAGATTGAGTTATTACTAGTTTAATGTTTCAATCTTTTATCCATTTTGGTTTAATATTTGTATATGGTGTTTAATAACAGTTCAACTGCATTCATTCCTTTACAAGTAGACATCTGAGTATCTCAACACTATCCATATATGTGAGAGTATCCTTTACTTCTTTGGTGGTATAAGCACCCATGTAGAAGGTCATTTTACCTCATGCCTGAGAAGTTGTAAGTAGGTTCTTTATTCTACAGTGCTTCCTTTTTGTACTTGCTGTTAATCCGCACATGAGCACATTTTTTCCATTGATATTCAGAGAGAGTGGAAGGGTGGGAAGAAGGACAGGGGGGAGAGAGGGAAACATCGATGTGAGAGAGACACATCGACTGGCCCCCTTATGCTCATGCCTCTACCTAGGTGGGGTGGGAATTTGCAAATGAGGTATGTGCCCTTTAAGGGGAATTGAACCAGCCATCCTGAAGTGCACAGGATGATGCTCTAACCCTGAGACACACTGGCCAGGGCCTACAGTGCTCCTTTATTTACCTGTGTCTTATTGTGTAAATGATACTTTTTGGATCACACCAGTTTTGAATTTTTTTTTTTTACAGAGAGGAAGGGAGAGGTATAGAGAGTTAGAAATATTGATGAGAGAGAAACATAGATCAGCTGCCTCCTGCACACCTCCTACTGGGAATGTGCCTGCAACCAAGGTACATGCCCTTGACCAGAATCGAACCTGGGACCTTTCAGTCCACAGGCTGACGCTCTATCCACTGAGCCAAACCAGTCAGGGCTGAAATATTTTTTGAAATAAGGAAGCGTGATGCCTTTAAGGTTATACTATCTCTCCCATGTTTGTTTTGGTTCCCCTGGTGTCCTGTGTCATTTCTTACCCATTTTAGGATGAGGTTTGCTAATTTTCTGAAAAGTGTCATTGGGACGTGGATAGTGATGGCTTTGAATGTTTGTCAACCTTGAGTACTTGTGAGAGCTATACTGTTAGCATTCCAATTTAAGGTCATTGCATGTTCATGTAATGAAGTTATGTAATCACAGCCAACACTATTATTATTGATTTTAGAGAAAGAGAGAAATATTGGGGGTTGGTTGGGGGGAGAGAGAGAGAGAGGTACATTTATTTCCCCACTTAGTTATGCATTCATTGGTGACTTTTTATTTTATTTTTATTTTATTTCATTATTTAAATTTTTTTTTTTTTGGTGCTGTGATTCGGATGCGACATTGGTGACTTTGTAGTGTGCCCTGAGCAAACATCAAAGCTCCAATGTTTTGGTATGGGGACCACACTCTAAACAACTGAGCTACTCCTGCAAGGCGAGAATGTCCTTTTCTTATCTGTACTTTAGGCACCCTTGGTGAAGATCTTTAGACCTTTCCAGGAGAATGTCTATGTAGGTCTTTTATTCTACCTTCCTACATTATTTCTCATAATGTCTGTATCACAGGTTTTTTATTTCTTTGTTTATAATTTTTTGTTGTTTTTTTTATTGATTTCAGAGAGGAAGGGAGAGGAAGAGATAGTTAGAAACATCAATGAGGAGAGAGAATCATTGATAGGCTGCCTCTTACATGTCCCCAACTGGGGATCAAGTCCGCCACCCGCCCATGTGCCCTTGACAGGAATCAAACGTGGGACTTTTCAGTTCACAGTTCGGCACTCTATTCATTGAGCCATACTGGCTAGGGCTGCATTATAGTTTTTTGATAACAGAAGTTTGGACCTTTGAAGTATGTTTTACAATCAGGAAGCCTGAAGCCTTTAATTTCATACATTCTTTTCTTTTCGTTCTTAAATATATTTTATTGATTATTTACAGAGAGGAAGGGAGAGGGATAGAGAGTTAGAAACATCGAAGAGAGAGAAACATCAATAGCTGCCTCCTGCACACCCCCCAATAGGGATGTACCTGCAACCAAGGTACATGCCCTTGACTGGAATCGAACCTGGGACCCTTCAGTCTGCAGGCTGACGCTCTATCCACTGAGCCAAAACATTTAGGGCCATACATTCTTTTCTTGATTGACTTGCTTACATGGAGTCCTGTGACATTCACATTAATTTTAGAAATAGCTTTTCTATTTCTGCTAGAGGTGTCACTGGGACTTTGATAGGGATTGCTTTGTATGTTTAGGTCACTTTAGGTACTAATGACAGCTGATACTTTTATTTTATTTTTTATTGTTTTATTGCTTAAAGTATTACAAAGAGTATTACATATGTCTCCTTTTTTCCCCACCCTTGACAATCCCCTCGCCTCCCTTACCCCCCAGTGTCTTATGTCCATTGGTTATGCTTATCTGCATGCATACAAGTCCTTTGGTTGATCTCTTACCCTTCCCTCCTGCCCCCCAACCCTCCCCGGCCTTCCCGCTGTAGTTTGACAGTCTGTTCAAGGCTGCTCTGCCTCT